GTTATTCTTGAGTGATTTCATTGCTACATTTGTGAAACTCCAAGGTCTTGAAAATGTGTACTTTTCAGGAGCCAATGAGTCATGGATTTGTGTACAACTTACTCATGCGTGCTTTCTTTCCATTCAATTCTGCTGGAGGGATTACCTGTTTTGTGAAGAGGACTTCAAGGAAAAGCTACTTCATTGCATTTTGAAAACAACTGCTTTTTGGAATGCATAAGAGTAGTGCCTCTAAAAACCAGGAGAGTACATAAAGAATGTGTTTAGCTTCACTACTGTTATATTTTGCTGAAATATGTACTTTTTCATACCACTCCCCAGGAACTTTCCTCATAAATCTCCTTCAACTCATCCTGAAAGAGGAAGCTGCAAAGAAAACACACCTTACTGGGCCTGACTTGGAATTGTATATCCAGGATGCCACACAAATGGTGCCTGCTTTCAGCAGAAATGGCCATGCAGTGAACATGGATGTGAAGACATGGGTATGGTATAAATAAAAGTAACCATTAAATTATATATTCCTTGATACCTTTATGGATTTCCACAGATTAAAAATTCATATGAAACCCATATGAAGACTGTTGTGGGGAGGTACATGGAGTTGAACTGCATGTCCCCCTCTTATACAAGTCATTTGGAACTGGATGGTTGCCAACTGTCTACACTGTCCAAAGTATGCTGTGGGATGATTCCCCATTCCAATTGAGGTCTCCTTTCAAAAGTGTGGCTGCAGTCGAGTTGGATGAGAGTGATGAAGATTTACTGGTGAATTGAATAAAGAGAAGGCTTCTTTGTATTTGTGAGGAAAACTTGGGCAATGTTCAATATATTACATACCTATAAAACATTGACTCACATCATAATCACAAGAATCACTAAGCAGAATTTATAAATAAAAATTTCAGCAAGAACTTGGTGGTGCAACTCCATCAAGAAGGTTTTTCATAGAGTTGATGAAGCACCAAAGAGGTCATACAAAATAATTAACAGTAAGTGGGTTCAAATTTTTTTTAAAACAATAATGGTATTCCAAAAGCCAAAGACAGTCAAATCCAGTACATTCATTAAATCAATAACCTCATTTACAAAAATAATTTCCACAACCAATGCAAAATTCAGGACATAACTTGATGATTTCCAATTACTAGTACATCTTGCAAACAGTCTGAATATGATATCAAGGGTTGTATCATGAACTGTGAAGAAGCATGTCACTGCAGTGATTTTGATAGAAATTGCACAGCATCTTCGAAGGGGGTATTGTGATCAGGGTCCATCAGCTCCAAGTCCTTCACATACAGCACACTCAAACAATATTGGAACAATCTCCTTTGTAAACTGGAATCCTCAATAAGTAGCCTGGAAAATACACTCCATAATATTATGGGGAATGAAATTTGGTAAAATTAAGTTCAACACATTTACTGTGAGGTGACAGCACTGCCTAACCTTGCAGAACAGTTCTGCAAGGATATGGCCCTTCTTCAACCTTGCAGAAGTGTTCTGCAAGGTTACAGCACTGCCTAACCTTGCAGAACAGTTCTGCGAGGTTATGGCCCTTCTTCAATCTTGCAGAAGTGTTTTGAGAGGTTACAGCACTGCTCAACCAGCCCTGCCTAACCTCACAGAACAGTTCTGCAAGGTTAGGCAGGGCTGGTTGGGCAGTGCTGTAACCTTGCAGAACAGTTCTTCAAGGTTACAGCCCTGCCTAACCTTGCAGAACTGTTCTGTGAGGTTACAGCACTCCCATAACCTCACAGAAACTTACTGGGAGGTTAGGGAAGGTTATGGCATTTCCCTGTAATCATTGTAATTTTGTCAATACTCATGATATTTCCAAATTTAAAAATTTTAAATGTGGCAAACATCAAGGTGCCTTTTATAAAGTTTTCAAAAGTAATTTTCATCAAGAAATGAATTTTTGCCACATTTGTAAATTTGGCAAAATGGGAAATGGAGTTTTTCAAAAAATTCTGTTTTGTTCATTTTAGCTCATTGTAATTTTTTCAATATTCTTTCAATTTCAAAATTTTTTCAAGAGTATGTGCAAGGTGAACTTTATGAATTCAGTTTTTCTTGTTGAAATGGTTGAAAATGGTACAGATAAAATTGAGAATGTAAAATTACGTTTTTGAAATTTGCATATGCTTTTGAAAAATCTTTTGGCATTTTGCTATAACTTAGTCAATTTTCAAGCATAAATATTGTTAAATATTATATTAATTTAGACATTACATAGGGCATTTTAAGAGTGCTCCATGGCTCCTACACTATTTCCTATGTGTTTCCTCTGTAACCAGGAGCAGTCCCCTTTCTGAAGTCTCTCAAGCATGGGCACAAGAGATGGACTGCAGCCACCTGGGGAGTGGGACTGGGGAAAGGGGGAGCAGCTCCTTTCTGGTGGCTCACATTTTAGCTCTGGCAAGATGTCCCTTCAAAAAAAAACAATAGGAAGATCCAGTTTGTTCTGAAAAAATGTTGGCAGATGGCAGTTGGTGGCTACACGGGGGTCTCCTTTGGCTTCAAAGTTAGGGAGATTTCTTTTGGAGGAAAAGTTGGCAGGAACCTAGGGTGGGAGTTTATCCGGGGTGGTTTAATGGGGTTGACTGTACCTTTCTGAGCCAAAGTTTTTAGACAATTTCAACTCTTTGAAATTGTTCACTCTGACTGTGATTCTGTATTTGTGAGCAATGCATTTAAACATTTGCTTGGGTATGACATTCAACATCTGGCAGAGGCCACACACTCCAAAGGTAGTGGGTGCTGTGAACTATCAATCTGCACTTCAGCCCAGATTCAAGTGAAAGTAGTAGAGGGCCAAGAATTGACATGGGCAACTCATCTGGCTTCTTTGGAGAGAGCATACAATAGTACCATACATTCTGCAAATAGGGTAACTCCCATCCAAAAGCCATGTTTGATTAACGTGATCCTCAAATTCTTGAGGCTGATTGTTGGGAACGACACATACTCGCGAATCATTAAAATTAAAATATAAAAAGGAACAAGAACCACGAAAATCTGATAAGAGTTCCAACCCTCGAACGGAAGGAACTCACCAAGGACAACAGCAATTCAAAGAAAACCAGAAACCGATTTCCGTTTCCCCCCGATTTCACAGGAGAATGAATTTACCAAAGCCACTTGCTGTCAAACTTTTGGAGTGTCTACATTGCAAAACTATGAGAATTTTGGTGGAGCTCTGTTGAGTGTTGTGTTGTCTGAAAAACTAATATTTGTGTATTAAATCTGTGGGACAAATTTCTTGAAATATATTTCTAATTTAAATCAGGGAAACCAAAATAAGGTTCCCCGGCCTTGTCCCAGGCTGATTCTGTTTTTTATTTCAACATTTCTTAAAACTTTACTTCACAAAATGATCCACTTGCAAAAACTAACATATTTATGTTAAGGTAAGTTTCTCCCTAACACTGATGGAAAGTTTGGAGCAACACCTGAGGACTGCCAATTATCCCCAGAGGACGTAAAACAGTGGGCGGAGGCACATCATAACCAGTTCATCAACTAGGCAAACAAATAAAAATTAACACATTTTAATCTGGGTAACTTGATTGCTGTTTTCCCCAGGCTGCCTCCTGTTGAAACTCATGCTGCTAATGGTCGTTTTCATGCACGAAAAATGTGTCCTTTTATGGTTCTTTCTTGCAAGGGCAGGGGCGATTACCAGGTGGGAGCTGGTCCGAACGTCAGGATAGTCAATGCATGGGAGATGGTGCCATAAATAGGGGTCAACCACGACCACCGGATCCAGGATCTGAAAAATTGCTGGGGATCATCCACCATGGATTGAACCAGGATAGTATTGCCCCACCCTTGGATCACACCTGTGATGCACATGAGGCATCACAAGCTCCCTTGAAACCACAAAGGACAACTTGGACACTTGGACCATGCATATGGATGCCCAATTCATCTTTGTCCAACAGAGGCAGCAGTAGGCAAAGAACTTTCATACGCAACATGCTCTTTTTAATGCAAATGGAAACATAAAAAAACACCATAATTTTGCAATGGGGGGGGGGGGAGAGTAAGGATCCATCTTTACACCTAAGTGCAACACCTGTGGGGTTGCGCTTTGTGGCATGACACAAGCAAAGCATCCTTGCTTGGGTGCGCCAACACTGCAGGGCAAGAAAGGCATGCGCAGTAGAAACCCTGCTGCGCACCCAGTTTACCACATTGCGGTGAACTGGGAAGGCAAACAAGATAATGGGACTGGATTGGCGCAGGTGCCATTGTTCTTTGTTTTCTGCAAGATTGTCAGCAAAGCCAGCAGACACTTGGCAGCTTTGCCTCAAGGAGGAAAGACCTGCCAGGGAATGTCTTGTGTGAAACATGTTGCATGTTGATTGTGTGTCTGAATAAGGCTTGTAAGGGATTGGATGTGTGCCTGATGACCTGTGGCTCGGGTTTTGAGGTGCAATATAAGGAGGACTTCTCACAGGCTCCACTAAGGAGGATCTGGCCTTGTAGAGGCTGTGAACTGAGTTTTATTTCTCACCTCTTTCTTGGATACTGGCTCAACAACACCTGCCCACAACTTCTGTAACTCCCAACAGTTCACCCAATCCCATTTCCCTTATCAGTCCCATGATCTGGGAAAGGTTCTTGAGGAGACAAACAGGAAACATTCTGACATGAGCTCTTGACCTTACAAAATTGTAATCTTATCCTTGACTGATTACTTTTTTTTTAATTTTTGTGGTGCACTAAGAAGAAGAATAGATGATGTGTGTTTGAGACATGGGTCGAAGTCCTTTCCTGACAACAATCCTTATTGCAGAAAATCAATCAAACACATCCATCCTTTCATCATGATTTCAGTTGGAGGACACAAGAGTTAGAAATGCTGAATTCTTTAGGAAGTTTAGATTATTCACGGATACCATCTGCTACATTTTTATATTCGACAGATTTCCTGTGCATCAGCAATCAAAATTTGTTTTCATCTCGGTGGGGTGAGGGGGTCAGAGAAATTAAAGTCCGATATCTAGGAGCAATACGCTAGGACGAGGCTGTGACGATGGTCTATCAAGCCGCGGATTGAAGATCGCCGAAAAGCGTACCTTATGGCTTTCGAGTGGGACGTGGTTGACCAATCCGTGTTCAGCTTCGGTAAGCCTCATTTTAGAACACTGCTTAGACCTGCTTTTAAGGCTCGAGAGAACGACGACCTGCAGCGTTCGGACGTACTGGTGACGTAGATCCGGTCCAAGCTCACAAACGAAAGTCACTTGATGCAAAGAAGACACTGGCCCGAGGCAGCCTTGCATAGTTTCCGAAAACCCTTTGCCGCTGCCCATCTCAGTTTTCGAGAACAACACTAAATTCTTCAGTCGCTTGAACACCTTCACAGCTCGGAGAATTTTCGGCACTTCCTGAGTAGAAAGCGCGGGAAGTGAGAGAGGGTACGTTGAACCCACAGAATATGCAGTAATGTACAGCCGTGGTTCAAAACAATCAACGATTGGCAAATCACTCAATGTAATTCAGAGAACCAATTCCCCAATGACTCCAAGGATAATTTAGTCAAAAACGTCAATTAAATGAAACCGCCTTCAATTCATAACAATGGATTAATCCTCCTATAAAGGCTAATCGTTCCATTCTCATCGTGTATCAATAAATGAATTGAAAACATCATCATATCTCTTTTAATCGAATTTTAAAGGAACAACAAAAAAATTCGAGTCACGGAAACGAGCATTTTAGCGAGCAGAAATAAGAAAAAATGACAGGAAATAGCAATTGATGATATTCAGGTAACTTCAACAGTGTTTAGCCTTCGTGATGCACAGTACTTTCACTGCGTAAAACACCTTCCTGCGCAGAAGTGCCAACGATTTGAAAGGTTATGACGAATAAGCAGTCCATATAGAAAACAACTAAAATGTTACCAATAACCCCAACAAAGTATGTTGTACATGCCTGTGTTTGCGTGAAAAGGAACAAAAAGATCTTTTGCATCACAGGTATGGATTCTGAGATCGTTCTTAAATGACTTTGACCACGGTCTCTGGGGATCGAGGAAAGTATTGTATACCTGTGTTTCCATTTTTAATCGGAAGCTTAAACAGTATTTCGCGCATATACTACAGGTTTTACATATTATATGCTCTTACCTTGTAGTTACACACTTCAATCCAAAGATCCTCCAGAGAATCCTTACAGTGGCTGATTTGACGTAGCACAGACCATGCCTTGTTGAGTTTGGTTTCAGGAAACGCAATGAATCCAACGGCTGTGACAATTGACCAAGAGTTTCCAAGGGGAGATTATCCGGCACCTTCAGAATCAGCCCTCTCAGTTTGGAGCAGGATCGAAGTTCTTTGAAGACACCTCCAGGACTTTTCTCAACGGTTTTGTGCTGGAAGAAAAGTGCTACGCATTCCAAGTTGATCATGTTCGAATACGGAATGTATGTCTCCCAAACGTCAGCAGAGACACATTTCAGATTTTCCAGCCTGACCAATAGTTTCCAAGGGGAGATTATCTGGCACCTTCAGAATCAGACCTCTCAGTTTGGAGCAGGACCGAAGCTCTTTGAAGACACCTCCAGGACTTTTCTCAACGGTTTTGTGCTGGAAGAAAAGTGCTACGCATTCCAAGTTGATCATGTTCGAATACGGAATGTATGTCTCCCAAACGTCAGCAGAGACACATTTCAGATTTTCCAGCCACTCGAATGGACTTGAATTGAAGACTTGCAGTGCTTGTGACTCCTTATGACTTCCTGTGTAGGTTTTATAGAAGTTTCTTCTCTAAGTACATTCCTGATCCAGAGGTGTTCCAATGATGGCATCAACGGAAAATGACGACATGCAGCAATTGGTGAGGCATCTTCCAGCCACAGTGTTTCAACTACAGTACAGCAAAAATATATGTATGGAGAATCATCCACAGAACTTTGACCCAGACAAACTTTGTACGCTTTTATACAGTGATAAACCTCTCGAAGCAAGAATTGATAAACATTCCTCAGCTCAAAGTGGATTTGAACGCAGTTCCTGTCTCATTTCGTGTTTTACACTCACAAATTCTGTGCATGGTATGCGTACAGCAGTCATTAAAAACGTCATATCAAAAGGAAGCTTCAATAGAATCATTCAATACTTGAATATCTCAAAAAGTTGTAGAACACCAACATCAAAAAAGCCTAATGATGAAAGTCAACGTCACTTGTAAACAGGCTTCAGAAGAATGAATTTTTTTTTTCTTGGATCATCAGGGCAATATAACATGCTTGAGAAAGCCATTTTAAAGGCGGATGAAATTTTAGGCATAAGGGAATACAGTTGGTCTCAACATTCGCTGAAACATTGAGTTAGAATCCATTGAGTTACAACAGTGAAAAGTTTAGCTCATAATCTACGTTAAAACTACAGAAAGGCTGAGATTATAGATTAAACTCTAATCTATAATCTCAGCCTTTCTGCGTAAAACAATTTCCTTTTACAGACAGCAACTAGCAGCACATTGTTGCATTCGTCAGATTAAAATCACCCGTTCATATTCACCTTCGGGAAAAAAATTATTTTCTCGTTAGCCGGCGGCATGTTATTGAAGATCTCTCCAGTCATGCTCAGGGTTTCGAGCTTCGCAAATATTCCCATTTTCCCAGCAAGTTTCCAACCTCCGGCATCCAATTTAACGGGCAACTGATAGGTATGAAGACTTGAAAGCACACCAGAACCCAGAAAATCAGGAAACCGCCGCAAGTGCGGATCCCGCAGCAGAACCGAATTGGATATTAAACTTTCCATGTCATGTAGAATAGCATGATTGAGATGGAGTTTCTTCAACCTGTAACCGATGCATTCACTATAGACACAGCACATAAACCATCAATGATGCTAGTACTACTTGCCTTGGAAAAGCCTGTCCCATATTAGCAGGATACATTTTCTCCAAGGAACACCGCAAACGCAATTCCCGACATTTGGGAAACAAGACGTGCCCAGCTTTGGAAGCTTCCAATAAAATATCCGCAAGAGTAATGCATTCCACGGAGAGCATTTCCAGGTGAATGAGCTTCTTGCCACTCCTCCTGAGAAATTCAGACCATGCTTCTTCGTTGGTGTCCAAAGTATCGATTTCGAGCACCTCTAATTTACTCCAATCATAATGTTGGAAAATTGGTCGTAAAATGTTCCGTGGCCAGAGCGGATCCAGTTCAGAGTCAAAACTGAACATCAGTGAAAGCTTCCGCACATGCCTAATATCAGGGGGTTAATGAAGAAAACATACCGAATCCATGAATGCGACTTACTTATATACAACTTTGCAGAAGTCTTGGAAGTGCCCAAATGGCTGACATGGCATTCCATCCCGAAGATAAAACTTCACATGCGTCCAACTGCTTCCATCCTTCATCAGGTCATAGAACAGCCGACACACAGGAACCAAGTCTTGCATCATATCAAATGGTGGCAGAAATTTTGCGATATTCTTGAGAACTAGCCAAGGAAATGACAGAAGGAGCGAAGTCTGCGTTTCTCTGACGTGACTGCTGTCACTGAGGAGGAACATGATCCTGAAAGAAGCTGCAAAAAACGATTCATGTATTGATTCCTTCCTATTCAATTGTGGTTTTCTTGTACAGCAAAGCAGCCCAAGTGACAGACTCGAAAAAAAATATATATACATATATAGAACACGTGGATCAAGTTTATTTTTATCAACTATGAAGAATGTCTAGTTAAACCCAAATACAGGTCGATTCTCCCTACGACAAAATTTACGCGACCAGAAAAAAATCGATTGTACAGAGACTTTCAGTGGAGAACTCCATCAGGCAAAAATACCGTATTTACTCCAGTACCCGGCGCCCTGGAGTGAGGCGCGCACACAGGGTTTTTTAGTTCAAAATTTGAATCTCAAATTGTATCTCCCAGTAAGACCCGCACCCCATTTTTAGTGACTCTAAAACCACAAAATTTCGAAAATAAAAACAAAAATTTTTACTTTAGACGTGAATTGAACATGAATCTGCTCAATTTTCAAAGTTTTTGGTAAAAGAAGTTTTCTTGGTACATTTGTCACAAATTTCTCCATTATACTCAAGTATAACTAACACACAACTTCCTAAAACTTCCTGAAAAGTTTGTAACTGCTTATGACGCGCACCCCTTTTTTCTTTTGAAATTTGAGAAAAAGGTACGTGTGCTGGTACTCGAGTAAATATGTAATCCGTTTTACAGAGAAAACAATTGCAGACAAGATTGTTGTGGATATGAGTCCACGTGTATAGAAGTTTGATGCAAGGATTCCTTGACAAATCGCAGTGATAAGTCAGACAGTCCTACAAAAACTTGTTGCTTTAAATTTACAAAATGGGGCATGCAAAAATAAAAAATAAAAAGATAAATTTGTCCATGAAAATATCTCTGGTTTTCTGACATGGAGGAACACAATTCTGTTCATCCTCAATTTGTTCAATGCTTGTGTTTTCAGTCTAGTCAAGGATAATTCTGATGCATGTATTACTGATTAATGCTTGTTCTGCTCCGGAATTGAGCCCCAGTTATTTTTGATGGCTCACAGAATCTTCGAATTTCCCACCCAGATACTCATTCAAATATCATTTGCCAATTGAATTTGGTAAAACACAAACAATGAGGCATCTCCACTTGATGCAAGACAATCTGTTGCATACGTATGAAAAGTTGATTGGACAATATAACAGAAGAGAGAATCAGACTGAAACGCATTTAATCAATGAAAATCTGTTGAATTTTATCAATTCTTCGTCGACATGCAGAACATCTTAAAAACCTTCTTCCCCATTTGGCTCATGACTTTTCCAATTTCATTTCACAATCATTTTTAAAGAAACACTACATTGGAAATCACACTATGCTTCTATTATCTGCAAACTTAAACTCAGTCAAACTTAAATGCTGTCCTAATCCCAAAAGAATACCTATGCTTTTTAAAATGTCCCATTCGCCAAATTTACCCCAGAGAGATTTTCCGCAGATCCTTCACTGGTTACATAACTTTACATAACTGGTTGATTCATAACTTAAAGTCAATCGTACAGCTAGTATATTGAATGATACTCAGTTTTACTTTTATTGGATGAGTCATCATGGACGTTGTTCACACAAAATATTTCTGGACTCTTTCCGTTCACTCAGTTTGATCTGAGAGAAGACAAATGCAGTTTTCGCGGAATGTTCCGTTATTGTGGGAAATAAGCTCTTCGTGTACTGTACTGTATTACAAATTTCCAGACAGTTTTTACGCTATCAACCCATCATATACAATTCAAGTTCGGTATATTTTTGGTGCATTGGTTTGAGATTCAAGAATTATAAGGGAAATGGTCTGACGATCTTGGCAACATCTCATGGTATTGCTGATGTGAAATGTTAAGGCTGCTCCGAATTAAAATTAACGGCAATCGTTGCAGTGTTCAAATAAACCAGCAGTTTGAAAACCATAGGTGAATGTTGATCAAATTTCCACTCTGAGTTTCGGAATTACTGCAACAGAACGTAGCTTTCAAGATGTTTCTGGCGAAATGTGACTAAAAACATATACTGTACAAGTATAACTCACGAATTATGGAGAAAAATCCTCTGATGATGTCGCCATGTCTCAGAACACGCATGTCTTTCTCATCAAGTGGTAAAATGTCACTATTGACGACTAGTAACAAACCGAAGCGTTGCTTCAGCTTTCCAACCACGCTTAGTATGAAGTCTCCGCATGGACACTGGAAGATGGAGAAAATAATCTCCAAGCTTGACTGCTTCCGGCAAACTGCGCCAACTTTCACCCCATTTTCCTCTTTATGAACATCTGAGAAAAACCGTTTATACGAAGACAGAAAATGGAAAAAGTGCTGTACTGTATAAGAGTATTACACAACTTACGTAGTCGAACCTGCGTCCCCTCAGCGGTAACACACTTGTTTCCGAACCTTTCGAAATAACACGACACTGCCTTTTGACTCGGATTTGTACCGCATCTTGGGCCACGGTGTGTCGCAGCATGTCGTTCCAATTCCATATACGAAAGGTCTCGGAGACCGAAATTCAGTTTCAGGAGAAACGCACGCATTGTGGAAAAACGAACGAACAGCTCTGAACGAGTACCGTCGAACACCGTCACTGTCTCGATTCCTACAATCAAAAGCGAAATACAGCACAAAGAAAAACAATCGAATAAACCTCGCCGACATGAATCAGCTGAAGAAAATGGATGAGAAGGTAATACCAACAAATGCCCCTTTCACTCAACGATTTGGAACCCTTTGTTGAATGAATCAAGATCGAAAACTTTCTCGTATGCCAAATTTAAAACGTAAGAAACGACGATTCAAAGAAAACGCCAACACTGCAACGGGCAATCATTTTTGTATGCTTCGCGAATTCCCAGGGTGTATGGACTATGATAACAGTATTGTATTTCACAGAAATGAAAATAAATAGAGAAACGCGCGCATCGCCGCAAAGTTAAATTCTTCCAACTATTCCGGGCAAAGAAATGTTCAAAATCATAACAGCAGTTTCCATTCATGGTCCCTGCGGGTTCCCGGAGGCAGGACTTTGCTTCAGCCGCTAAACTGCGCCTTTCATTCCACACTGCCCCATCAGTACCCAGCAAAAAATTTGAGCATTCATGAACCCATTAGAAACCCATTCAAAAAAAGTGTATCCTGCCCATTCAGAAAACGGTCTTACAAGAATCTCTGAACTAGTTAGCTGGGCATTCAACTAATGCCTTAAAAGTTCAAAAAGGGTGCTTGTATTTGCATGCATTATACGTTAACTCTTTTGATCATGCATAATTCTCTGTCTTGTTGCAGTTGATTTGTTCGCACACATGGTTGGTTGCAATCCACCAATACATAGGAACACTCCCTGATAGTCATGCCTCCATATACACCCAGCAAAAAATTTGAGCATTCATGAACCCATTAGAAACCCATTCAAAAAAAGTGTATCCTGCCCATTCAGAAAACGGTCTTACAAGAATCTCTGAACTAGTTAGCTGGGCATTCAACTAATGCCTGAATGAACGCCCCTAATAACCATTCAACAAATGCCCAAATGAATGCCCCCATATAATTTTAGGGCTGGCATTGGAGTGGACCATTCATGAACCCAGTAAACAAATGGGTCTTCAAATGGGCTCAAAAATCCGCCTAAAATTAAAATATTCATTTATCTAGCTGTCATATCACAATTTTCCACCTTCAGTCACCCACACTAACCACCTATCCTGAACAATTCTCACCTGGTTTCTGATAATTTAATCACGCAACTCTCAGGAGATCAAACTGTACAGTATAAACTTGAAAATTCTCTGCACCCTCTGGGGTTTGAACCCACACCCTCAGGAATGGAGGCCTGCCACCTTATCCACTAGGCTATACACCACATGAGAATATATCCGCAGATGATTCTTCATACTTATAGTTTGACTTTTTCATTTCAACAGGATTGTTTATGAATTCAATTCAATCTTTTTGAAATTGTTTTAAAGTTTTATAAAAGTAATCCATTAATTGTTCCAAAGATGAATTGAATTTTTTATTACATTTTTGAATGAATAAGTGGGACTGTACTGATATACAGTATATGCAAAACTGTCTTATATTTACACTTTATGTACAGTATTGTATTGTATATGCATTCATGACAGTTCAAACACAAATTATGTGGTGTTACATCTCTCATGACATATATATGTATTAGTACAATAAAGAGCAATCCTGTATGCATCTTTGCTTTGAAAAAAATGAAAATTTCTTCTATATTGATTCTTGCTTATACAATGCTGTCAACCTTGCAAAATTAAAAAAGTTTTGGATCTACATGTTATTTAAGCAATTCAACCCACTAATTTGGTTTTGTGCCTTGCATGATATATTGTTTATTATTTGAGGCTTGTTTACATAATGACTGTTCCATCAACAAGCTCAGTGCAGTGAAACTGTAAATTTATTGACTAAAATTCTAAACAGGGCACATTAGCAATTGTTATATTATCATTGAGTGGATTTTTTGCATTGAAATTGCATGCATAGGTAATTTTTGTCTTGATTTAATCATGGAATGCCCAGTTGATGGACATATAAACTATATAATTGAATGGCTAATTTTTCATCATCTTGCATCCATTATACAAAAAGGGTTATATGTAGTTTATATGAAGAAACTGATGGGCATTCCATGATGAAATCAAGACAAAAAGGCAGTAATGTTTGTCTTGATCATGGGATGCCCAGTTTATGTATATAAACTATATATAAGCCTTATAGTTATGAATGCAAGAAAATGAAAAATTAGCCATGTAAAATTATATAACACTAATAAATGGGTTCATGAATGGGTCTGGGCTGCCTCCAGCAGCTGGCCGTTTGGTTTTTGGAAGAAGCCAAATGAATGGGTCAGCAAATGCCTTGGTGAATGGGTGCACCCAGGCCAAACATTTTCTATTAATGCCCAATTTTTTGCTGGGTACCAGCTGGGCTGCAAAATTGTTTCCTTGGGTACGGAGTTCCACTGCTTCTTGAATGGCAGAACAATTGATTAGAGAATTTCCAAGTGGGCGTGATCTTCGTTTTCCACAAAACCCATCGGGGCGAAGTCCGGATCATGAATGGAAACTGATGGCGTCATTTGCGCCGAGATTTCCCGAAAAGTCCATTGAAAAAATTCGAATCAAAGCTGAGTAAATCTTTTAAAATTTTCAAGAGATAAAAGTTCATTTAAACATTCGGAAGTCTCTCACAGCACGAAATTCATATTAAAAATTGAATGAGGTGGTTTCAACTTCAACAGTATTTGGGAGTCAGAGAGTACTGTGAAATACCCAACCCTCAAAAACCATAGAAGCAGTTTGCCAGTTTCATACGCTTCCATTGTCCAATCCGTTCAGTTCCTTTCATTCCGTGGATGACTTTCACAAAGAATGCGAGGCATTTCAGGTTTTCGGAAGCTTATATGATCAGTCTTTCATTACCAACTCGAAATGCACCAAACTTTGTGCAGTTCTTGCCTTCTCAAATGCAGAAATTCGAAGTAAAAAGCGCATACTATAGAATTTATATTCCTGGGAATCATCGCCAATTCGCCATTCATCCACAAACGACTCGTCGAAGGACTTTTGAGAAATCCCTCCTAAATTGGGAAACCTCTGTAAATGAAAACATCCGCAGTTTCGGACGTAAACGGCGAAAACACCAAGACCTTGTGCAGTTTTATGGCGCGCGCATGTCAACAGGATTCAGTTACCCCCTGTAAAATACTCAGAAAAAATGTCCAACAGTTGACACATGACAGTTGCTGGAAAAAAGAACACAGAGGCGGCCTTTTTGCTTTGAACAGCACACTGAGGAGTCCGGTTGCACCCAAACTTCAGGGGAATAAAGGATCTGTATTGCCATTTTCCTGCAGTTACAAAACGATTCTATGATTTTCGACAAGTACTCTTCATTTCTTTCCTCTGCATTAGTTGATTCCCTGGAATTTTGGGTCCCAACTATACTGAGGTGGAATTCGAAAATATAGTAACTTCCAATTCATGCATTGGATCGCTACCAATATCAAGGAAATATGGATGGTGCGGTTCTAGCATGCAACGAGCAGCAAAACTGACAGAAGAAAATCGTTGCACAGAAAATCGTCGTACGGCTCCACAAGGACCTGTTATAGACACAGGCTTTTTTGTTTAGTCCTTCACTGGAATTTCAATACTTATGGCAACCCACAAAAAATGCCACCAAATCACTATTGGATATATGAAAGGGAGAGGTTCGTCAACTTCCGTTCAGCCAGTAATTTCCTAATCAATATACTGAACTGTTCAATAATATTGTAGATTACGAAGAAAGAATTGAATTTTTGCCGCGGGACCCTTTGCTACTTGTCACCGGGTCCCTTTTCTTAAGGGGCCTATATTTCTGCGGAGCCATCCAAGTATCATCCGAAACTTGAATTTTCTGCGCTCAAAGGAACGGTCGTTGACCAAACTGTCGAAGACGTTCACAAAATTCCTGATAAAAAGGTATCCGGTTAAACAATAAGAAACGTCGATTTAATTTATTTTTCGCTCCCTTTACAGCTGCGAACAACTAGATGAAAAAAGAATACTGCATGACTAGGCCAGAGCACGAACTGCTTTTTTATTCGTGAATCCTCCTCCTCCCATCCTGTTGGGGAACCACATACTACAAAACAATATTAAAATTAGATTATAAAAAACTAAAAAAACCTAGCATCAGATAAAAGAACCACTTCTCAATGACAGCCACCTCACCAAGAATCACCACTTTTCAAGGAAAACCATGCAACCCCAGAGAACAATGAAAGCCAAAACCGATTTCCGTTTTCCTCTCGCGTCCACCGAAGAATAGATTTCAGCCACATTTGCAATCGTACTTCTGGAGTGTTCACCAGCAGCAAAATCGAATTTGTGGAAGAGTTCTGTTGAGTTGTTTTTACAGAAAATTGTCTTGTGTGTTAAAATATTTGTGGGGACTACTTTGAAATACAATAAAACCCAATTTTAAAATAGGAAATCCATGAGGATTCCCAGCCTAGTCCCAGGCTGATTCTATCTTTAATAAAAATCTAAAATTCACTTTATTTTTCCAACTTTTGATCCACAAACAAAAACTTCAGATTTATGTTAAGGTAAGTTATTCCCTAACATACCTCATTTGTCATGCAGAACCTCAGCACACTGCTGAATCTCATTGCCCCTCTTTCAAAAGGTGACCATATCTCTGGAGGGCCATATACAGTATATATGCCTTGTCAACCTGATTAACTCAATTCTTATCCAGCAGACATCATGCAAGTTTTTCCTCCCAACATTTCCTTCAATCTCTACAGGGGGAAAATTGGTACTCTAGGAAGCATATATGCAAGATTACGCTTGCGGATACAGTATTCGATGTCAACAATATGACATAGCAAACAAAAGAAAGACTGTACGGGCGATTGCCAGAAAAAACGTCGATTTCATGGAAGTACGAGAAAGAAATCGAATTTTGAAATAATGAGCGAAGGCCCCACCACCTGCGAAAAAAGGGAAGAGAAATTGTTCATCCCTCAAACAATAAAAAAGGTCTTCCATCAATTCTGTTGTAACTCTGCATTCCCAGGAAAGTTTTGCAGACAGGACGGATTAACTGTCCGCATAAGGGATAACTCCAGGTTTTATCCTTTATTCCTACAGTTCGAATATTTTCCCAGGCATTCATTCCTTTTCCCCAATTCTGAGGACTGAAGTCGTAACCTGTCGATCTTGCTATTTGAGAGGCGCTTGGAAGATCACACAAACAGAATCTAGGGAAAACGGCGTGTGGAAGGATTAATACTTCTAATTCCTTTTAATCCTTTCCGGCGCCACCCTTATCCATTCTCCAAGTCCGCGGTCATATTTCGGACAAATCCGAAGTTCCATCGTTTCATAAATGACAATTTCCAGCGTTTTCAAGGAAATTTTAAAAACGATAATCAAGATGATCTGCAACGCTGCATCAATTGAACACCCTTCACAGCAACGAACTTACGAAGAATATAAGCAATACCATACGCGGTAGAATTCCGTGCAGGTCATCATCACTTCGCAAATCCCGTCATAGATTGTGGGGAATGAATTCGGTGTTTTGAACGAAAATACCCCTCGCTTGACAGAGTAAAGCGAAAACGGGATTTTTGTACCTACGGGATTTTCGAACACCGCGAGATTTTTCGGCCTCACGGGATTTTCGGGCCGCGGGATTTTCTCCTGCACCCCACTGTTATACACGGTTGCAAGATACAGAATGTTATCCATTTCACTGAAAATAATAGAGAAGCCCGATACAAGAATTAACTCCGATAATCGAACTATATCTCATCACAAACTCAACGCCTCGCCGAACGACCGGGTTACAGCGCAACCGCTTCTGATCCGACGCGTTCAAGCATTGCAAGAAGGACTCCATCTTGTCAACTGGCGGAAGTGCGCACAGTGATGACTAACTCAACTTCCAACAATCTGATAGAGCTTGAGTAATGATGATTTACCGTACAGTATTCTACAGGAGTACAAGCGTAGTATGCACGGCGTACCGTTTACGGCATACTATAATGGCAGGAACAATGTGCTCAAGAGAAGCGAATTCAAGATATTGTTGAATGTTTAAAAGTTAATTGCTTTGGGTCTTACCACAAGCACGGACAAATTCACCCAAGAATCAACTGGCGGAAGTGCGCACAGTGATGACTAACTCAACTTCCAACAATCTGATAGAGCTTGAGTAATGATGATTTACCGTACAGTATTCTACAGGAGTACAAGCGTAGTATGCACGGCGTACCGTTATTCCGTGGGGTGAACCGGATTTTTTTTTCTTTTTCGGGCTATGTAATGGTGTGTTTTCCATATGACCGAAGTGCTGTTAGATGCCCGTATCGCGCCTGTGTTGTTCCCCAAGTTGTACAATTTTTCGTACCACAACTGGGGATGAGGCAATGAAGGAGGTAAGCTGAACGGAATTCGGGGAAGAAAACATCAGGGACTCATTTACCTCTGTCTCAATGTTTTCCTGTGAATGGTTCAGTACTATAGGGTGAGGTGAATCACTTGAACTGTCTCTTTATTGCGGGCGACCGTATTTTCCCTGTGAAGCCTCTTGTTCGGCGTCTGTAGATTGCCCATGGCATTGATTGCTTCCCCCACTCTTGCCCGGCTCGTCACTCCTCATATGAGAAAGGAGATGATGCGCGCGTCCGTGAACTATTACTTTCAGAGGTACAGAAATGTTATTCGGCGGGTCAGTTAGCCGAATCAGTTGTCAAATTTGTGGAAGAAGTCTTTCAAATACCTGTGCTGCAAGGTAGTGTGCTGCATAGATTTTTTTTTATAGTTCCATCAGACTTGATTCACTGCTCAATGCGCGCGCAACTTGGCAAGATGGTCATTTGTACGAGGGGCGCGAATAGAACCGCACTATCCGTATTTACTTCATGTTCGTAGCGATCCAATGCATGAATTGGAAGTTACTATGCTTTAAAATTCCACCTCAGTAGTCGGGACACAAAATGCGAGGAACTCAATTTGAGCAGAGCAAAGAAATGAAGTGTATTGGGCTGCATAGAATCGTTTTGTAACCGCAGGAAAATGGCAATATAGAGCCCTTATATTGCCCTGAAGTTGGGAAGTAATCGGACTCTGCGACGTGTTGTTCAAAACCAAAAGTTCACCCCCTTCGCATCTGTGTTATTTTTTCAAGCAAGTGTCCTGTGCCGAAATGTTTTCTCTCTGTATGCAACTGTAACTGAATCCTGTTTACACGCGCGCGCCATAAAAATGCACCGGGGTACCAGCTGTTAACGCCGTTTTCGTCCTCGGAAACTCCGGATGTTTTCATTGAGGTAAATGTTTTCTCTCTGTATGCAACTGTAACTGAATCCTGTTTACACGCGCGCGCCATAAAAATGCACCGGGGTACCAGCTGTTAACGCCGTTTTCGTCCTCGGAAACTCCGGATGTTTTCATTGACGGAGGTTATTTGCCAATTTAGGATGCGTTTCTCAAAGTTTTATTAGTGTCGCCTGTTGATAAATGGCGATGACTCCGATTTCCGAGGATCAGAAATTTCTCATGGTGCGGATTTTTACTTTAAATTTCTACATTTAAGAAGACGAGAGCCGCACAAAAATATTTGGTTTATTCCAAATATTTGTGCATTTGGAGTGTATAATGGAAGACTCACCACATGAGCTTCCAAAAGCTGAAGTGCCTCGAATTATTCATGAAGACCATCCGAGCGATGGAAAGTGTCATTGGACAGTGAAACTGTGTGCCGACTGGCTGGGTTTTCAAGTGTTGCGTATATTTGATGGTGTGTCTGCCATCCAAATTTTGTTGAAACCATCTCATCGTAATTTTGATCTCACGCCTGTGTAAAGCTCTTCCAAATACTGTATGTGAAAAACCTTTGTTTCTTGAAAATTTTGAAAAATTTATCCAGGTTTGATTCAAATCCTTTCAATGGACTCTTCCAGGAATCTCGCTCGGGTCAATGACGTCATCACTTTCCATTCCTGATCCGTGCCGTTACCTGGACGAGGCGGGACTCCGCCTGGGTTTTGTGGGAAACAAAAATCACCGCCCATTTGGAATTTCCTTTCCCAATGACAGTCTTTTGCCATTCACGAAGCGCTGAAACTCTGAAGCGAAGTCCCGCCCCCGGGAAATGGCAGGGATCACGCATGGAAATCGCTGTCGTGTTCAGACCATTTCTTCGCGGGGAACAGTTGGAAGAGGTTGCGTACTTCGGGATGTGCTCGGTTCTCCATTTCTATTCAATTTTATGAAATACAGTGACCATAACAAAAATACCCTGGGAATTCGTAAGACAAGCAAAACTTTTTGCTCGCAGCAGTATTTCCTTGACTCTTTGTTTCTCACTATTTAAATTGAGAGTTCAAAATTTGGATTGTGGGCATAACTTCCGTCGTGATTAATTCAAGAAAACCCTCCAAAATGTAAAGAGAAAGAGACATTTGGTAGGATTTCCTTCTCCATTTTCTTCAGCAGATTTTTACCAGCGAGATTCCGTGATTGTTTCTCCATTAATTTTGCTTTTGATTTCAGGAATCGAGACAGTGTCGTAATTTGAAAAAACTTTCATCAATAGTTTGCCTGGAATTTTTTAGCTCGTTTTTCCGCAATGCGTGCGTTTCTCCTGAAATTGAACTACGGTCTCCAAGACCTTTCATACATGGAGTTGAACGGACGTGGGGCGAAAGGCGGTGGCTCAAGAAGATGCGGTGCAAATCCGAGTCAAATGCTGAAGGTTTCGTGTTATTTTGAAAAGTTTGAAAACAAGTGTGTTGCAGAGGGGATGCAGTTTCGACTACGTAAGTTGTGTTTCTTATGTAGTGCATCAGTACTTCGTATATTTTCTGACTCCATAACAACAATTCTTCTCAGATGTTCACAAAGAGAAAAATGGGGTGAAACTTGGTCCGGTTTGTTCCAAGCAGTCCAGATTGGAGTTGATTTTCTCCATCTATCAGTGCCCAAGCGAGGACTTCATACTAACTGTGGTTGGAACTGTGAAGCAACGCTTCGGGCTGTATCTACTCGTCAACAATAACGTTTTGCGACTTGATAAAAAATTCATGTGTATTCTGAGACATGGGGACATCATCCAAGGATTTTTCTTCAAAATTCGTGAGTTATTCATTTATATGTGTCTGTTATCCGCATTTAGCCTCGAAATGAATAAGTTCCTTGTGTTTTTTAATTCATGTGTATTCTGAGACATGGGGACATCATCCAAGGATTTTTCTTCAAAATTCGTGAGTTATTCATTAATATGTGTCTGTTATCCGCATTTAGCCTCGAAATGAATAAGTTCCTTGTGTTTTTATCTTATTTCAGACTCGGTGTGAATGCGTTTTTGAATTACCCCAAAACTCAAGACGCTAACTTAATATACATTTGCTTACGATTCTTGTGTTCGGAAAGTTTTGCGCAGTACAACCATCGCTATCGATTTACATTTCTGGGCAACCATAACTTTCCGCATTAACAATGCAGTACCAACAGAAAAGTTGCCGAGATCGTCAGTACAGTATATGTGGGTGCAGGAGAAAATCCCGTACGAGAAAAAATCCCGCGGCCCGAAAATCCCGTGAGGCCGATAATCCCGCAGGCCAAAAAATCTTGTGGGGTCCGAAAATCCCGTATATTACAAAAGTATGATATTATCTCTGAGTTTTCATTCCAACTGCTTTTACTCTTCTGTGGCCTTTGGGTGGGAATCTTGTTAAATCTCTTTGAATCTCAACGGTCTCATTGAATTAAAAAAAAAATTATGCTCTATCATGTACATTGAAATTGAAATTTGATGAGATGAAATATACTTATATAACTGCATTTAGACTTTTTTGATTTAAAAATTATTTACAGACCATCACCATATATGTAGATATCGAAGGAGGTTGTTTTGATGTAAAAATTCATGTTTTGAGGGCAAATTAGAACTGAAAATAATTGGAAAAGTGAACAGTTTACATACGTACAAAACAAATCCAGGGACGAAGTCTTGATCCAAATGAAGGTTACATTTTTCTCAGGTTTCCTCAGGAGAAATGTGAGGAAGTGAAGTTGTGGCTCTATTGACAAAGGTAATTCCTAAATCCTAAGGAAATCTTTTGAAAGAAACCCCTTGCACTTTCCCCATTTCATAATCCACCATATTAGTATTCCTCCCAGGCAGTTGGAAAGAAAACTTAGATAATACCACAATTTTGTTGTATACCGGATTTTCGTACCTAAGGGATTTTCTGACCCCCCGAGATTTTTCGGCCTACCGGATTATCAGCCTCACGGGATTTTCGGGCCGCAGGATTTTATCATGGAGCCAGTATATATATATACCCTTTTCTTGTACAGTGTAGTTTTCAAATCTTAAAAACGTGCCCGAAGGTTCCTTTCAATTGATGAAATGATAGCATTAAGACTGTCTGATGATTTGTAAAACATGGAGAAATCATCGCGCGTCATATTGATGTTCCCGTACCTATAACTCTCTTCCTTACATATCGAACCGGGCAAACGAAAAGAGTTTAAGACTTTTTCTTGTAAATAATAATGTTCATTTGTTGACTCGTCCAACCAAACCTCGAAATTCCAAGTACAGTATACGATTCGCTGAACTTACAAATCAGCCAAAGTCTGTAACCAGCGCAGCAGCATCTCCAGAAATTTCGGTATACTGTATTTGTGAAATGGGCGATTGTTCGAAGTACATAGTACAATTTTTATTCGATGCAGGACCGCATAAGCTTCGCAGAATTCGACCTTGCATGAAAGAGACAGGATGTGATCTTCGATTATATGAGTAACATCAATCTTCCACAGGTGGACTCCCTAGAGGAATCTATTGTCTACAATGGTCTTTTATTCTGTGTGACGAAGTGTTTGTGTTGAATATATTTCTCTCCCCATGTTATTTTATGGATTCTCTGGTCTCTGCAACAATTTGTCACTTGCATTTGTGGTATGAAGTATAATTTTTATTGCATCAAAGGAATATAATCTCGAATCCATCCTTTTTTATCTCTGTAAGCTGATCTATTTTACTGTACAAGAAGACCATGATGAATAGAAATAAATTTATAGCATCAACTGTTTTTCGCAGCTACCTTCAGGATCATGTTCCTCCTAAATGGCGGTCGCATTCGCAGAGAAACGCAGACTTCGCTCCTTCTGTCTTGTCCTCGGCTGGTTCTCGAAAATATTACGAGATTTCTGACACCATTCGAAATGATGCGAGACGTAGTTCCAGTGTGTCGGCAGTTTTTTCACTTGATGAGGGATGGAAGCAGCAGTTGGACACACATGAAGTTTTTTCTTCAGGATGCAATGCAATATCCGCCCTTTGGGCACTTGGATGATTTGTGCAATGTAGTTTATAAGTAAGTCGCATGCATTATTGATTCCATATTTTGCTTGCTCATTAGCTCTTCAAATTAGGCATGTTCGGAAGCTTTCACTGATGTTCACATCTCGATCTGGGCTGGAGCCTCTTTGGCCACGGGGCATTTTGCGACCGATTTTTCAACATCATGATTGGAGTAAATTAAAAGTGCTCGAAATAGGTACTTTGGAGACCAACGAAGAGACGTGGTTTGAGTTTCTCGCGATGAGTGGCAAGACGCTTATGCACCTCGAAATGCTGTCGGTGACATGCGTTACTCTTGGGGATTTATTATTAGAAGCATCGGAACATAGACTTCTCTTGTTTCCCAATTGTCGGGAAGTGAGGCTACGGTGTTCCTTGGAGAAAATATATCCTGCTAATATGGGACAGGCTTTTCCAAGGCAAGTAGTATTATTATTGATGGTTTATGTGCTATGTTTATCGTGAATGCATCGGTTACAGGTTGAAGAAACTCCATCTCAATCATGCTATACTACATGACATGGAAAGTTTAATGTCCAAGTTGTCATTGCTGCGGGACCCGTTTTTGCTGCAGTTTCCTGACTTTCTGGGTTCTGGTGTGCTTTCAAGTCTTCACACCTATCAGTTGCCGGTGAAATTGGATGCAGCAGGTTGGAAACTTGCTCAGAGAATGGGTATTTTTGCAAACCTTGAATTCCTGAGCATGAGTGGAGAGATTTTCAAAAAAATGCCGCCGGCTAACGAGAAAATCATTTTTTTCCCAAAGGTGAATATGAACAATTGATTTTACTCGGACGAATGCAACAATGTACAGTGCTGCCACTTTCTTCGACCGTTAGAACGATTTCCTTTTAAATCTGATCGATAATTGCGTCTGTTCTGAGTGTAGGACCGTGGAGCATGTTTAAACTCATTTCCATTGATGAGAAGCTTTGTCCATTTTACTTCCGTAAGGGTTTTCAATGGTAGCCCCCGTATTAAAAAATGTCACGGTCCCCAACCCCCCTCCGGCGGTCAACCTAATTCATGATTCGAATCGTAAATTGTGGTTAAATTTTCAATATAATCTCCAGAAATTGCCATTCTGTGGCCTCTCACAAATACAGGCAAAGTAACTCAAGAGTTCGGCGACTATTGAGACATTCTGTATTCCCCTTCTTTACAATTAACATCTCAAACATTGTATATTGCCGCAGTAATTCCAGAAAAAAACAATATCTTCCGAAGCCCGTGTACAAGTGACGTTGACTTTCATCTTTAGAAGCATTTTAATCTTGATTTTCTACAACTTCCTTAGATATTCAAGTTTTAAATTTTCTATGGGAACTTCTTTCTAAGATGACTCTTGTACGCATACCATGCACAGAATAGTCAAGAGTACAAAACACGGAATGGGGCAGGAATTGCGCTGAGATCCGCTTTAGGCTGGGGAATGTTTTTCAATTCTTGCTTCGGAAGGTATATTAATAATGTGTTGAAAGCGGTATCATTAAGAAACCAAAATTTAAAGTGGGCCAACATTCTCTGTATGATTCTTCATACCGATATTTTTGCTGTAGTTGAAATCACTGTTGCTGGAAGACGCCTCACCAATCGCAGCAGGTCGTCATTTTCCATTGATGCCCTCATTGGAACACCTTTGGATCAGGAATGTCGACAAACAATCCTCGATAGAACCTACGCAACAAGTTCTACAAGCACTCCAAGTCTTCAATACAAGTTCAAGGGAGTGGCTAGGAAATCTGAAATTCGTTTCAGCGGACGTGTGGGAGACATACATGCCGTATTCGAGCATGATCAACTTGGAATGCGTAGCTCTCTTTTTCCAGCACGAAACCATCGCCAGAAATCTGGGAGGAGTTTTCAAAGAACTTCGGTCCTGCTCCAAATTGAGAGGGTTGATTCTGAGTGTGCCAGATGATCTCCCCTTGGAAACTCTTGCCCAGTTGTCACAGCCGTTGGAGTTCATTGCGTTCCCGGGAACCAAACTCATCAGGGCATGGTCTGTACTACGTCAAATCAGTCACTGTAAGGACTCTCTGGAGGATCTTTGGATTGAAGTGCGTAACCTCAAGGTGAGAGCATGAAATGTCAAAGAAACTGTCTATTGTATAAGTATACAGTATGTGCAAAATATTAACTTCTGATCAAAATGGCAGCAGGTACTGTACTCTCCTCGATCCATAGTGATGGTATTCGGAACCATTTTAAGAACGTTCTCTGTTTTTGTCTGGCTACGTTTTATAGAAAAACAAGGAAAGTGGACTTGTCTTTGTACATTTGAACCTTTCATTTGAAAACACCCCAAACTTTTAAAAAAACAAAGATATCCTTGCCAAATAAGTAATATCATAAAGGCGCCGTTAAAGATACTGATGCTGCATCTCGTCGGCCAAAATATTATGAAGTTACTGGATATGTTGACGTTGCCTCGATAACTCGAACCTCCCCAAGTTGAATACCTCTCAATGTTGAATTTTTGGTAGACTGAATTCAAACGCGACAAGTTTCTGCAGGATTAATCAGTTGCTATAAACTGAAGTCGATTTTATTGAACTGACCTTGACTAAATAAACCTTGAAGTCACTGCTGTTGAATTATTTTACGGAATTACGTTGAGTGATTTGCCGATCATTCATTGTTTTGAAATACGGATGTACAGTACGTAACTGCAAATGGGCTCCATGATAAAATCCCGTAGGAGAAAAAATCCCGCGGCCCGAAAATCCCATGAGGCTTTATTAGGGCATCCGGCTTTTTAGGGCGCCTCAGGTTTTTAGGGTAACCATGTTTTTAGGGCATGTGTTGTTTAAACATTTAAAAAACACATGCCTTGTGCACAATAGAGATGCAAAAGAAAGGTTGTGCGTGGGAGGAATGCGAATATGGTGGATTATGACATGGGGAAAGTGCAAGGGGTTTCTTTCAAAAGATTTCCTTAGGATTTAGGAATTACCTTTGTCAATAGAGCCTCAACTTCACTTCCTCACCTTTCTCCTGAGGAAACCTGAAAAAAATGTAACCCTCATTTGGATCAAGACTTCGTCCTTGCATTTGTTTTGTATGTACGTAAATTGTACACTTCTCCAATTATTTCCAGTTCAAATTTGCCCTCAAAACATGAATTTTTACATAAAAAAAACCTCCTTTGATATCTACATATGTGGTGATGGTCTGTAAATAATTTCTAAATCATAAAATAAGTCTATCTTCTCCAATTATTTCCAGTTCTATTTTGCCCTCAAAACATGAATTTTTACATTAAAAAAGCCTCCTTTGATATCTACATATGTGGTGATGGTCTGTAAATAAATTCTAAATCATAAAATAAGTCTAAATGCAGTTATATAAGTATATTTCATATTGTCAAATTTCAATTTCAATGTACAGCCCATGATAGAGCATGCAAATTTTTCTTTTTAATTCAACGAGCCATTAAACTTAACAAGATTCCCACCCAAAGGCCACAGAAAAGTAAACGCAGTTGGAAGGAAAAATCAAGGGATAATATAATAATTTTGTAATATACGGGATTTTTGGACCCCAGGAGATCTTTTGGCCTACGGGATTATCGGCCTCACCGGATTTTCGGGCCGCCGGATTTTTTCTCCTCCGGGATTTTCTCCTGCACCCCTGCAAATGCTGTGTGCTCCACTCTCTCTCTCTCTCACGCACTCCCGGCACTTCTATTTCTGCAGGAAGTGACGAAAATTCTCCGAGCCTTGAAGGCGTTCAAGCGACTGAAGAATGTCGTTGTGTTGTCGAAAAATTTGCTGGGAACCGGTGAAGGGTTGCTGGAAACTATACGAGACTGCTTTGGGCCAGGGTCTGCCTTGCATCAAGCGACTATTGTTTGTGAAGTGGGAGTGGACCGTCGTCACAAGTACATTGCCTGTGACGTCCAAAAACGAAGGAAGTCCGATTTCTCATCAACATTTGTCACGAGATTCTACTCCGAATGGTTTCGCTTTCTGCCTAATAAGTACGTGCAGGGTGAGCTTCAGGTATTTGAGGCGATTTCGGCCATCTTCAGTACACAGCATTAATGAATCGCAACAGTTCCGTGACTTCTGTCATCCTTATTCATTTTTCTAAGCACTCTATACTGACTGCTCTCAGCTATCAGACAAATTCATGATGATTCGTGGAAATGTGCTGATACTGTACTTACATAAACCCCTTCTTTTTTAATTACTTTCCAAGAAAAAAATGCAATTGCGGTGGATACCTCTTTTTCACTACATTTTGGTCAGCTTTTTTATTCGATTGAAGATTGTCATGAGTGTTGTGTTCGGAAAATACAAGAAGACTTCTTGAGACGTGAATTAGTCGCTGACATCTCATGCCAGTTTTAACCATTGTTTTGATGTTGATGTTTTTCATTTGCAGGTCATTCTATCAAGAATGAGTGCGAAAAAATGAAGTGAAATAATAAGGTGGAATGTGAAGACGAAAATTTATCAACAGTGGGAGTGTGAAATTTCGGAATTGAGAAGCTGGAGAGAGAGTGAGTGGGTGAGTTCAAACTGTTCATTCATTTTAGTTTCGCGATATATTTTTCCCCTTGCCTTAACCAAGATTGTGTCTTAACGATCCACCAACCTGGCCTTGCACCCCAGGCAAAAAAAGGGTCAGGGTGAAAATCCGTGAAAATCCGATCTATCAATGTCACTGGCCTCAGGAAAAGGCTTTGACTGGTCCGCGCCTAATGAAACAAATGAAAAAATGAATGCTGTGCTGAACAGGACACTGTCTGGCAGACGCTGTCTATGGGACGCTGTCTGGCGCCACAATTGAATGCACTGTAAATTCATTCATTCCTTATAGCACCAAAATTTCTCTAAATTGCATCACCTATCACTGTCACATGGCATGCTTTAATGACACCCTGTAATCTGTTCTTGGGGATTCCTG